GATCGGATGTTGCGTTCGCTCTGAGCAAGACCCAAAATGGCGGCGCCCAAAACAATTTTGGGGAACGGAGTGCCGATACCTTAGAGCTCATTTAGTGACTCTAGGCATGAAGTGAACACAGGTTTATTCTCTTCTTCTTCGTCTTTATTGTTTATTGATTTCAATCATATCGAATAATGAACACATTATATCACGCTACGCTTGTGTAATTATTTGTATTAGATTTATTAACCTGACCCAGTACTTAAACCATTCATTTATCGATAGTAAATCTTCCAATATATTTTTAAATGTGAAGGTAAAAAGACACGGAGATTGATGATGATACAGACGCCAACGCCGCCCTCGGAAATTTTTTTAACATTAAAAATCAGCAGTTTGTCTGCCATCCGCCAAATAGCGCAACAAAACACCCAAACAGTTTTTAATTGTTTTTAAAATTAGCTAAGCTCTACACCTATTAAAAAACCAAAGCAAGATCATTCTGAGAATCTAATACATCGCAATGTATATCTATTCCAAACAATAAATGTTATTAGATGCCAATAAATCTGTTTGGTGTCCAAAAAATATATGCGTCAAAAACAAGAAAGTTTGAAGGGCTCCTGGAGCGTTATGACTTTGAAAATGAAAAAAAGCCATCGTCCACCTCTTGGGCAACCATTGTAGATCTAAATGGTATAAAAGATTTTATCGTAGTTTAATTATTTCCTCAGCGGCATTTGAAGTACCATGACTCGAAGCACAAAAAAGTGCTACGTTTGATATAAAATATCTAAACAAAAATATTTTACAAAACGTGAAATTTTTTTCTGCATATTACCAAATATAAGCACTACATCTGTAGCTAATTTCATTGTCCTAGCTCTTGTCATTAAAAAAATATTTGTGCTGAAAAATGTCAATTTTAGGGCAATATTCGGAGGGATGAAAAAAACAAAGTAGTGCAAATACCAAAAAAGGGTATCGTTACGTTCTGCTCCGACATCATCTTAACAAAACTGCTATATTGGAACCGTGTTATCTTTAATGGATCATTCATAAAACATGAACTAGCGGAGCAAGTTAGGGTCCGCGCCATCATATTCGCAACGCTACAAATGCGCATGAACAGTAAACACCAACACACACATAATATCAAATGAAAGAGGATTAAGTTGCTTTTCGAATGACATCAATCCCACAAAACAGTATTTAAAAGGAGATGAGTAATGACCTGCCAAAAAGTACCTAAACTGCCACATTCAGTGGGACCATGGCCTTAAAGGGGCCCTGCAATCATATTTAAGCAACTACCTTTTTTGCGGTTTCCACGTCTCTTGGGGTATGGGCAAGCCAGCGGGCACGGAGAGAGTAACTAAATATCAGTGCGTCATATTTTAACCGGGCGGCGCGGAAACCACCTCCACCGACGAGGGCGATCCGCGGTACCGAAAGCGCGCAAAATGTGACGTGTTTGGTCCTAGGCTTACTACTGGTCAGAGCCGCTAAAAGCTTTTTCGTAGTCGAAATACAAAATATAAGTGGCACGAACCGTTTCAGTTATTTATAAAAGAAGTATTGTTCAGTATTTTAGATCAGAAAAGAAACAAATGCAGTTTATAAAGTACGGAAAAAAGAAAAGACCCGTCGACATACCCGCCACCAAGCGGCGGAAAAAACTGCGCATACTAGAAAGAATTAGTGGGATGAGGCTACGACGAACGGCCAGCGTAGAAAAGCCCCGGACGTACGCGGCGGCGCTGCGGTCGTATACCGGCTCAACGATCCGACCGGTTCCGAGCGTTCCGAAGGCCTTCGGCGCGGGCCCTGCTGGCGATTTGGCCATTTGGCGGCACGGCAGCGCGAAGTGGCTCCCGTTCTGAACTGATCTTTAACCCGTGTTTGCTGTCGTTTGTGGCCAATGAAGTGTTATGCCGAAATAGTCTTTAATCGCGCAACAAATGCAATGCGAGCCGCCCCGGCCGCCCTCTTCATAGAGCCTATCCAACATATGCTTTAGTGGCGCCCTCTCGAGCCGTTGACCCGGAGTGCGGCAACCGTGAACGCTCGATGAGCTCACTACCCCTCCTCTAGTTCACGGCCACTCAAGCCAGGACCTACAACCACCATACTACAACCTACAACGCATCGAGTTATTATAATGTACGCTAGAGGCTCAAGTGGCGCTAGTGTGCTGACGCAAATTGAAGAAGACAGCAACAGCAACCAGTCGAAAATTGACTTCCGGTAATGCATTTCTATGGGAAAAAGTGAGTGCATTTTATCTCTGCGCTCGATCATAAGAGCAAATATCCCGAATAATTCGTACGTACTAGGTAGCTTGGAACATTTCTCAGTCAGGCCGACGAAAGAATTGGTCAGTTACGGTGTTTTTCTTTCGAATTCATCGCATTAAAGACGGTGCTAAAACAGCTTCGTACGGTAGTGTTGACGATTGGGCTAGTTGGTCATTCATATTAGCGGAAAACAAACAGCGCAAGGACAAGGACAGAGTAGAAGGCGGTAGACACACACAGCGCTGACTTACAACTGAGCTTTATTGGCACTGACAACATGTATAAATACACAATTTGCCCTGCCCAAAAGCCAAGAAAAGAAACACAAGAGGAGGACTACACGTGTTCCTAGAGTCATCTGCAGGCGCCGTTGCTCTCCGATCTGAGTAGAAAAATACACTCCTTTTCCGTCAAGGCAAGTGACGGGGCACTAACACACTCAGAGCCCGATTGTCCAATGGCGCGGGCTTCTATAATCTCACGTGTCAGTTTATCTTTTTGTTCACTGATGACCGTGCATCGTTCAAAAAACGGAGTACATCCGCAATCGCGGCAATGCACCCCAAGGTGCCCCGACACAACCTGAGACACATTATATCGATGCTCTCTTAAACGCTCATTAAGACAACGTCCCGTCTGCCCTATGTATCTCCGGCCACAGGACAGGGGAATAGAGTAGACAACACCCGCAACGCATGCAACAAACTGGCTTTGGTGTTTCTTGGCGCACACCTGTCTCTCTATTACATGAGAGTTCACTCTTTTGCACATCATAGATAGCTTGTCTGGAGCCGAAAAGACCACGTGAACACCAGCTCGGCGTCCCACTTTTTTCAGATTATGGGATATTTTGTGTAGGTACGGTAGTACTGTGATGTTCCTGTTTTTCCTGTTAACTTGTTCAGCATTCTCAATCCGTCTTCTCTTTAGTAGAGTTTCTGCGACTGCCGTTAAGAGGCGCAACGGGTAGCCCGCGGCCGTGAGCCTCGCTACTTGATTCTTAAAGCTATCCTTGACTAAGTGAAAGCATGATTTATTAAGGGCGTTTTTAAAGCAAATGTTGATGATTCCCCTTTTTACCAGTTTAGAGTGGGCAGACGAAAACGACAGGAGGGGTTTATTACTCCTTGGCTCATAAAGCCAGCAGGTGTGTGTGGGGAGACACTGCAGCCTAAGGTCTAAAAATCTTATGGAACCGTTTACTGGTAATTCATGCGTGATAACCAGTGGTTCCAAGCATTTACTAAAAGTGGCCAAAACCTCAGAAATTTCGCCAGCAAAGTGGTCTGAGTCACAGTCAACAAGCACTAAGTAGTCATCTACAAACCTAAAACCTTTTCGTTTCGTACCTTCGTACGTGTATTTATGTGCACTGTCGGACACTGTTAGCGCGAACGCGGCGTCGGCGATTTCCAGCATAGGGGATATATACATGCCAAACGAACGAAGGACATCTGGAAAATCAAGAGCGGCGGCAGGAACTACGCAGTAACACTGGATCAGTAACTCGCAGTGCATGTACGATCAAAATAAATTGAAGGCCACGTAATCTATTCCGATTTTAAATAAGTAAGTACTGCTTATTCTTTCTGCCCTGAGCAAAGCTGCTTGTTCTACGCTCAAAATATCACCCGAGAGCAAGTGCCCGATAAAAGCTGCCCGGCAGAGAAAACAGTACGAAGAGACACCTTTCATAGCCCACGGACTTTATTCTCTACGTTTTGAAGGTTTTTATCCGCTCATGCACGACGGGAGCATTTTCATATGGTGACAGGACTGGCATATTATGTATAGACAAGCGTCACCGGAATGCTGGCGAGCCTTGAACACACTCTATAATCGTTTCGATTGTCATTTTGCTTTGAATCGTCGCTTGCTTTTACACACCCACTGCGGAACACACGTTTGGGACTGAAATGTAGCGAAGTTAAATATCGTTCACTGATGCAGAAAAATGCGCTAACTAAAGCAATCACACTTTTACAGTGTTAATCAAGGTACATACTATTCGGTACGACCCAAATAACCAAAATGTTCCGTGTTATTTTCTGGCGAAGAGACAAACTGCAGGCGCATTTTCCCACAGGAATGCACCGGAGCACCGCAAAAGAAGACTGGTTGCTGTCTGCTTCAATTTGCGTCACGGAAGTCGCGTAGACACTAGCGCCAGTTGAACCTCTAGCGTACAAGAGAAGGAGGTTATTTTTTGCTTGTTTTTGTAATTCTAATTCGCCCATAACTTTTAAAATAAAGCGAAATTTGAGAAAAGAAAAGTTTGATTAAGTTACTACGTTCAGTGCGCTCATGTTCGGTGCAAATCTGGATCGCGCTTCCCCGCTTGTTCGCTGCAGCGCAAGTGAAGCCACCGGACTTCACTCGCTTGGGATACGATTTGCCGTTTTTGCTAGGCCTCATTCACACAGCCGTCGTTTCTCCCATCCCGTCACCGTCGCGAGGGGCGTTCCCGTCAGGGGAGAGGATTTTCGGCCAAGGTTTTCGACGGAAAGCTGTGCCGCGCCGGGTGCCGGGCGACGTAGGGAACTGCTCTACGGCACCGGCGTCCCGACATCCCGGCGGGTGACGGAGTCCCGCCCCCATCAAAAACCGACCAATCACAAAATAGAAAAGTTTCGCTAAGTTTGGAAGATTTTTCACCGTTCGGCTGCCAACAGTCAGCCAACGCTTGTGTTTGTTTGTTTTTGTTGTTCCTTTTCGGCGGGAATTGTTAATAGCAGACGGAAAAATGGCAGCCCTCAATGCCGAGCACGGTGATGCCGAGCGAGCCGAGCGACCTTTTGACGCCGAAGCACTCCTCGAGTTGGTGAGGGAACATAGATTTCTCTTTGATCATAGCCAACCTGATTTTAAAGACACACAGATGAAAGAAAATCGATGGAAGATAATCGAGGAGCAACTGGGAATGAAAGGTGAGCGACCCGAAGTCCGTGCGCGCGCAGTGGACTGAATGCTTATTTTCAGAGGGCACAGCGGCTACGAAATTCGCCAACCTAAAGGACCGCTGGCGGCGGCTGAAAAACAAGCTGGACGCCGCGAAGAAGTCTGGCGCGGGGGCGTCAGATGTTCCCAAGATTTCCTGGCGTTATTTCGCCATCATACACAGCATGATGGCGACCGAGCGGCTAGGAACGTGAGTACAATCGTTGGTCAAATATATCTTAACGAAGTCCTCCAGGTGGGGCACTGTTTGCGGCAAGTCGAGGCTTGATCATAATTTGCAGTCTACTGCAATTAGGGACATCAGGGCCCCTCCCAATAGAAGTGTAAAACTCGAGAATCTGCGCGTTACCTCGTATTACCTCGCGATGGAGTGAAACAGGTGCTTATCCTGGGCACAGGAAGCTGTATCGGTTGCAGGCCGTCTTAATTTAAAGCGAAATGAAAAGGCCACGTCGGTTACTATGTGTTGACATTGTGGCAACCTCTTGCTTTCATTCTTTTCAGTACAGCTTCCAATTTGATCCTGGAGCCTGCATCACCGGCTGACACGCAAGTGATATTCTGACCATAAATATGAGACGGAACAGAGAATTCTGCTATTGAATCCGAGAATGCGGTGTGATGTCAAACAAACTCGTTTTCAGGACCCCATCTCCACAAAGTGTTGAGGCCGAGACAGCCGGATGCTCCTTCTGGTAAACTTGGCTTGCTCATATACTACAGATAGCTTGCAGTGGCCTAATTTGGTCTTCCTTCTTGGTGGCGGAGCATAGCCCTTTACTGTAGTAATTCTACAAACAGGAAGCAAGCTTTGCAAGTGAGCAGAAACGAATGAGCCTAGCTTCCACTGCATTAGCGAGTCTTACATCAAGGAGGGCAAATATGATGTCACATGCTAGCTGTATATATATAACTAGGGTTTGGAGTCCTCTATATTTGCCGATAAATGGCCGCTGATTTTAATTTTTTGGATCGGTATAACCGGAAGGTGCCGGTTTTTATTTTGTATTCTGATCTATACAACTGCTGGGCACCTACCGTTTTGCAAACACTTGGGATTTCCACCTACTCTGGGTGACCTTATTGTAAGTGTTAGTCTTCAAAACAGCAAATAATGGTTTCTGAGGCAGTCCCTTATTTGGGCTCTCAATTAATTTTTTTATGTAGCTGGAATGAATGAAAGAGTGCTCATAAAATTGTAATTAAAGGACTCTGTGTCTAGTATGTGCTGTATTTCTGATGTTGTATCTTTGAGTGTTCTCTTATACCCCGCACCTGTTAAAGCCCCATACTTGGGGTGGACAGTATTCATAAATAATAAATAAATATATTTTTCAGGCACGACACCCTCGATCTGGACGGCAACCCTGACAGGTATAGACAAACAGCGATGTTCCAAATGCAGTAGTGTTGTCCGAACATACTTATTAGAGAGTTGGTGACACAAAAGAATGTTACACTGATAGACATTTCATTTATAGATGGATAGAAATGGATGGAAGTGGAGAATGATGTTGCTACTGCGCGCTTGAGGGATCGCACCGGCCTTCACCTCTTCTTCTCCTCCTCGACCTTCTTTTCTTCGGCTCCTTCGTCTTCGTAATAGTATCTTTGTATAATCATCTCATCGCGATTGGAAAGAGGAAGATGGGAGAAAGGGAGGGATGTGGGCGAGGGCTTAGATATCTACAGGTATTCCTAGGGAATACAAAGCTAATAAGGGGAGCCTAGTGTACGCTTGCAATCTGGGCAAGCAAGGCTGAGGTGAGTTCACTCATAGAACTTGAGTCTTGTGGAGCTGATTAATAGTTTAGTTTGGAGCAGTGAGAGCCCGGCACAGTCTCGCACGGTATGGGAACACAGTGCCTGGACCTCTAAATGCAGCGCAATTTATTGAGATGTAGATCTTTTACAGGCTCTATAATTAATGTATTTTCATAGTCATTTTAAATGCATGCCCCTAACGACATCATGAAGAGTGAAACATCTTGCCTTCTACAAAGTGGTACCACTATACTTCGTTTCACCTTATGGTGTACCGCAGCGAAGGCTAGAAGCGCGAGCCTATAGCGTTAACAGCTGCCCCTATTGCACGAGAGCTTGTGCCGCCGAGATGTGCCCTGGAGGAAGGAGCTCGCGCTTGTAGCCTTCTGCGCGGTACATCATAAGGTGAAACAGAGTATAGTATCTTGCTGCATTTTTCCATGTCTGAAAAAAGTGATCTTAAGAAGGGAGAACACATTGACAATATAGGGCCTACTGTGTTTCCTTTTATTAATGGGAAAGTTTTCTTTTCATCAGCATTGCATGTACAGAGGAAGTGGAGACAGAGGAGCCAGCTGTTGAGCTAGAGAGCCGCCCAGCTGAACCGCCGGCGCCTACAAAGCAGGCAGGAGGGAGACCTTCCGGCGGGCCGCCAAAACCAAAGAGGTACCGAGACCCTTTAGACGCTTTATAAAAAACATCATTCTATTCTGAATTTCTGCACTAAATCGCAGTGCGACCTATTGATAAACTGATTTTTGTGGGGCGTTTAAAGTGGTCCAAACTCTTGACGCATGTGGTATGTGAATTCAAACTGAAGTTGTTGCGCCACCTCTATAACATGCTCACCCTGTTGGCTCCTTTATGGTTTGAAATGTAACAATGCTGCATCGTGACCATATTACCATAACCATTTGCAATACAGCTGGCATGAACAAGCAATCTCCAGCTGTTAACAACCTTCGTACAGAAGTTAAAAATGATTATCAAAGCATCTACTTTGGTGGGAAGTTCCCATTTGAGGCATCAACACAACCAGTACAATTTTCTGCTTGTGAATATAGTGCTTGAGTGACATGTAAAGGCCGGTTCAAACCAAAAAGGATTTTCCTTGTTGTCTCTGTCCCTGTATCGGAGTAAGGACGATTCTGCAAGAAACCATGGCGTCGCTCTGGCGTTTGTCTTACTTTCGGCATAGGGAAAGGGACGAAATGTTTCCTTTTCGGTTTGAACACCTACACACAAAGGGACGAAATGTTTCCTTTTCGGTTTGAACACCTACACACAAAGGGACGATATGTGTTTTTTTTTTGTTTGAACACCTACACAGTAGGTGTTCCTTTTTGGTTTTAACACCTACTGTGTAGGTGTTGAAACGAAAAAAGACACATTTCGTCCCTTTCCCTATGGAGGAAGTGGGACAAACGCCGGAGTGACGTCACGGCGTCTCGCAGAATCGTCCTTATTCCGGTACGGGGATAGGGACAACAAGAAAAATCCTTTTTGGTTTCAACCAGCCTTAGAAGGGTGTCGAAGGTTGTGTATCATGAGACGGGAGTACATAAACTTTCACAAAGGACTGTGGCATATATATTGCTCAATTTTTCTTAGGAAGAAGACTGCCACACCACCATCTGATGACCTTGGTGAGGTTAAAGAAGCTTATATTGAAGCAATGCGGACAGTGGCACGGCCGAACCCTCCGCACAGGTGCAACTTGTTTTTTGATTTTGTTGCCGAGACCGCAAAGTCTCTCAGTGCTAAGGAACAAGATGAGCTGATGCATAAGTGCCACATAGCCCTTCTTGAAGTTCGGTATGAAGAAAACAATTAACTTCCGAGTGTTAAAGGGCCACTGCAGTGCAAAGAGACATTTTCTAAATATCCCAAATAGGACATGCATGTCGCATTATGCATTCTCCACCTGTTCACTTGTGGGTGCCCGCTGAAAATGGCCTTTATTTGGAGGGGAATGTCACACTGAAAGTAATAGTCTCTCTAACAATATATGTTGTTTGGGGGACTAGTACAACATACAACAAAAGTTTGTTAACCAACCTGCGAGGCATCTGCTGCCCTTCCAGCTAATGGAAGGCTGCCAAAAGGGCAGCCTCAGTGTCACATTCTTCTCAAATAGTGTCCACTTTTCAGCTGGTCAGGCAAACAGACAAAACAGATGCCAAATAAAATGAGTTCCGGGACATAAATCTATGTCTAATCAATTATTTTTCTGTGGAGACTGCATTCTGTGACACGGATGGCCAGGTTTACTTTACACTGGAGTCCACTCTCCAGACTAAACGGATGCTGAACTGAAATTTGGTTTGATAAGGCAAGGCAGGAGCGATAGGCGAGATGCTATAAACCCCGAAACATCACTCGTACAGCGATGTGTCCAGCGGATGGTCGTACCTTTCGAAACAAGAGGCACGATTGAAGGAGCCCCACGAGGCCGATGAACCATGTCACACCGCGATTCTCATTCCCGCTCTTCTTTGCATTCTCCCATCTTTATCATTGTTCATTATCAACTGTTCTGGGGGAAGCGCGACGTCACATTCTTCACTCAAATGCGCCCTTCTTTTCCAAAAGTACAGTCGTCCGCTCGAGATATTGCTGTATGAGTGATGTTTTGGGGCTTGTAGCATCCTGTTGAGCACTTCTGCTGCCTTATTTCGTGAAATCCAAATTTTGGTTCAGCATTCCTTTAATGTAACGGCAGTCTTTTCACCCTTTACCACATGATATTTTTTTATTTCTATAACAAATATTTCTTCATGTATGTGTCAGACCTATAGATCTTCCTTCATATATTTTTCGGACATTCCTTTGGGAGTGGGAGACTTTCTCCCAAATTACGTCTTTTTCTTTGTGTGGTAGAAACAATGCGTGCTAAAAATTGGCTTTCATAATGTGTGAGGTGCATTCAAGGGTTTGCAAACAAGTCTGAATTTCTAAATTAAGTCACATGCACAGAACTTGGTGCATATGTGATTACATTTGATTGTAAGCAAGCTTGAAACCAAAACCATGGGCTGCCCTCCGAAAACACAGTGGATAAATGGTGCCGTCATCCGCCATCATCGTTTCGAAGATGACATACGTGCAATATTTGCAGCCACACAAGGATCGGGTAAAAGTTGCTGCTGCTGTCATGTTTTATGCATACTTAATTGGTATCTGCCATGAATCACTGATGATGTGGTAAAGGGGTAACACAACAGGACAGACAGCTGTTTGTTCTGAACATGAGTGGGCTTTTGTGTTTGGTGTACTTTTTATGTTCGTACCTGTTTCATGATAATATGGCAAAGGGCAAAAGCCAAGGCCCCGTCGAGCCAATCTGAGCGAAGCATCTGGCGGCTCTGCACAGGTTAAGTGCACTGCCATGATGTGCTGTCACATGCTATGCTCCGGCAGGCCTGCTGGGAACCTACCTTTGGCCTTTCACCAAGTTACGCTGAAATTGAGTATAGTTCTGTGATACTGTTGTAGTCAAGATCAAGGATGTTGTCTTCCTTGACAATTTTCCATGAAGACTGTTTAATCTATATATTTTTGTGGGTCTGTGCAATGTCATGATGCTGCTACATGTTTATGCCTTTGGTATTCCAACAACAGCAAAGGCACAGCAATATATTATAGTCAAGATATGATCTACACTTTTTATTATGCAATCAGGTAGAAGGCATGGTTACACTTAACAAACAGAAGCAGCAAACTACACAAATAAAGTGTTAAGACCTCAAATTGTGTTTGAGTCAGTGTTTCCAACTCCAAAGCTTTGAACTTTGCAAATTTGAACGTCTATCATAACATATCTAAGACTGTATGACCAACCTCATGGCTACAGAGATAAAATTAATACACCTGTTCGGGAAGTATTCTGAAGAACGGTGCATGCAACGCTGATTGCACAGCAGTCACTGAAACTGAAAGGAAATCATAAAGTTATTACGAAAAAGGAATCACAAAGACAATGTTGCGCTTTTGTTGACAAGATACTAAAACGGGAAATACAGACACATTGGGAAATGTTTACCTGGAATAATAGACAGTTTCAGGAATTCAATGCCATCCAGCAGATTAGACAGCAGTGTAAATTTATACATGCTATCCGCTTCGTACAAAGTGCACTGCCCCGAGTGTGCCGTGGTTACGTCGAGGTTCAAATGAGTCACCGTGACATACATGTTATGTATGCTGTGTGTCAATTATTGAATTGGCTGCCATGCAGCATAGGAAGCACGTATGTAGCGGTGACTACCATTCAAATCTTGACATAAAATATCTAACATAAGGAAAACATATTAGGGGGGTTCTGGGCGACAAAGCTGTACGCACATTACCTTGAAACCTTTTTTAGTGCAAGGGCTTGTTGCAGAAAAGACCATCATCCATAACACAGCTAGGGACAAAAAAGTTAAACAGCTGAAGCTGAAGTGGATGGTGAAGCTGTTTTGGTTTTTTGTCCTGAACTTCTCCTGGGTGTGCTTCTATGGATATACTCTAATTGCCAGTCCACCTTTCCAGGCCCCATAAAATAATCTCTGAAGCTTGTGCGAACATGTTCTGCGACGCTGCATGGTTTGTTCGACCCCAACTGCGAAGCTTGAGAAAATATTGCTTCAGTGCCACTTTCTTTTCGCCATTCTCCGTTAAGGATGTCCCCATTCCCTGATTCGGAATCTACAAATTGGGGAGGACAGTACTTGTTTCGATCTTCGCTCTGGGTCATGAGAAAGTTGTGAAGGGCTATAGAGGCCAGGACATATCTGTTAACGTTTTCATTGTTCGCTTTGAACCGCCGCCTTAGGATGCGCCACCGGCTTGTGAGAATACCAAAAGCATTTTCAATTACGCGCCTTGCACGAGAAAGCCTGTAGTTGAATATTTTGTCTGCATCGGTTTTGATTGAACGCTTCGGGTATGGCCGTATCAGATAGGGCTTCAGAGGGAAAGCCTCATCCCCAAGAATGACATGGGGAGTAACATTTCCTCCTGGAAGCGCCACTGGTTCGGGAACCCCCAACTGGTTAGATTCTAGAGCACCAGAGAGCTGGCACCTCCTAAATACGCCACCGTCACTTTCCCCACCGCAGCGACCAACATCAACATACAGAAACTTGTAGCCCGAATCACACATAGCTAGCAGGATCTTGCTAAATCCTCCTTTGTAATTAAAGTTTTCAGACCCCGAGTTGCTCGGAGCATCCACTGTGACGTGCTTGCCGTCGATACTGCCTGAAAACAGAAAGGCGAGTGAAATTTGCCCTCAGCATGATGCAGCGAGGCTGATGTAGGAGAGTAGACCATAAGCTTTTTGCTGTGCCACTTGGCGACGAATGATGTTCATGCTGCGGTTTTGCCTGTGCAGACTGCAATGCTTTTACACACCTGGTAGCTGGCATGCACAGGAATACTGTAAGCTTTTCACACGGCCACTGGGGGAGGACAGATGTTCATGCTGGGGCTTTGTCTGTGCAGACAGCAATTCCTTTCTCACACGTCCTCAACTGGTTGCTGGCGTGCACCTCTTGGTTGATCTCTCGCATGCTTTGTGCAATATACCTTGGTTGGAATATGCTGAAGACATGCAGCACTCTGCTATTTCTTGGCCACTGCAACTTATTGGATGGCAAAGCATAATTAATTGCAAAATGTTAACAAACTGTGCCAGTAGCAGTATAAATACTGCAAAAGGTTGCACGAGTGCCCACTACATTTGCATTCAGAGCATGCATGCCATGTAAACATGCAGCAGAATGTTTTGGAGTATAGTCATATTGCATTAATATGGGCCCCGTTGATATGAACTCCCCGCAATATGGACGAAATTTTTGGCAACCGGTCTCTCGCCATGCAATACTGCCCCTATAATTTAGAAACCCGCAGTTCAGACTATGGACAGCTATTTTGGGGACGAAATAGGTTAATACAGGCATTTTGTCTCGTTATTATAAACACTGGCCCACGAAGCAAAAAAAAAAAAAGAAAAAGATTTGTGACTCACTATTGTCTGTTGTTCCTTGCCTGTCTCGTTATTTTTAATGCGGGTCCACAAACAACAGAAAAAAAAAAAGTTAACTGCAAAGGCCAGTATGGGTACCTGGAATTCACTATTGTCCCTTATTTGTTGACCGTCTCTTTATTTCTGATGCGGGTCCACAATCCCAACCGAGAAAAAGCTTAGTAAATCACAGAGGTTACAGTGTGTATGCGGAACTCATTATTGTCCCTTGACCGTCTTGAGATAAGACGTGGGCAACTAAAGGTGGTAGGGTTTTTTCCAGTTTTTAAGCCGAAAGGTATGTTGCCCCCTGCCGGGATGAGATCTGTGATCAGTCACATTCGTGGGCATAAAAGGCAAGGCCGTGCGCTTCTCTGGTCAGTCACATTATGGACGATTTTTTGGGGAAGCAAACACGTGCATATTAATGAGACATCACTGTACCACTTACCAATGCAATTTGGCATATTCCAACGTTGTAGGAAGCCCCTGGCAATTTCGTTCCATTCTGCGGGTGTTCTTGGGCATTTTACATACTCGTCCTTTAGGTTTTCCCAAATTGCCTGGGCCGTCTCCGAGATTATTTCAGATATGGTTGATCTCGCCACGTTAAATGCATAGGACAGGCTCCGCTGGCTATCACCGCTGGCGAGAAATCTGCAATAGGCCAACCATATAACCGTATTGGTTACTGCAACTAGCTAACTCAGTAGTGAGCAAGCCCTTTATTAGTGTGTAGTGTCACAGATTGTGTGTGAGCATTGAGGCAGAAAGAATGTGCATAGTTTCATGTACATGCTCACTGATCATAAATGTAACTCGCGCTGCTTTTTAAGAACCGGGAAGCCCAGTCACAAGTCCGACTCGTGCTTTGGTTTTGCGACCTGATAGCAGCACTGCTAGTGCTGCTCTGTCTCCTTTGTGCGGTTTGTTTTCATTGTAAGGATGTAAAAAGCAACGTGGCCTCAAAACACAGATACGCTAGAGATGATCCAGAAATACTGAGACTATAGCTCTAATGTCATAAGTCTTCTACTATCTCTGGCAACGAGTCATGCCGCCTTTCCTATGACAAGATGACAAACAGTGCAAGTGTGTTCCGGACAGCCACAATAAAATTGGCGGGTCTAAAACCTAATGTTTTTTTTTGTTTTTTTTTTTTCAATGATACTATATTGCGAAGAGTTGTTAAAAAATGACGGACAGCGCAAGGTGAGTTCCGGACCGTAACAGCAAAATTTGTGGTCCTCCAACCTCGTGAATTTTTCCAAACAAACTGTTTTGTGAAGAGTTGATATAAAATCGGTCAGATTAACACGAATCAGGATTAAGGCCAACAAACAACACATGGGGACTGAGAAAACATTACTAAACTGCTCAATCATCAAGGAGCATACTGGGGTTTTAGATACACGCACAGCACGTGCTGTAATCCGCAGTTGCTATGTTCCAGAGCAAGCATATCAAATGAATGGATTGTTCTACAAGCCTTTGCCGCCACCTTACTTTTGGTGTGTACTTCGAACTACACTCCCCGCAGGCTATTTTGTGTTTTTTTTTTTTTCTTCTTCTTCTTCTTCCTCCACGAAAATATATCTACCTTATCGTGATTTCCAGTCGAATTTTCGCTGGAATGCACTCTCTCCAGTTTGTGTCTTGCCTTTCGATTGAGCTTTCAACCAGGGTCAGGAGTCGATCAAAGGTTGACGGCAACATCCTCATGTAGCTGCAAATGTATGGCGATAAGGTTCGTACACCAAAGCTCAAGACACAGTACTTACTCAAAGAAATACTGCGGATCTGATTCTCGCAGCAAAGGAATCAGCGTTCCTGAGTGGCCGGACTTGCGATGCCGGCACATCTTCCGCATCCACACACTCCTCGGCCGCCTTGCCCTCCTCGCGCGCTCTGCTCTTCGTTTTCGGAATAGGTACATCAGCAGAAGTGTGCTGAGGAACACAAACGATGATCCGTGGTGTGCGTGGCTCGCCATGGCTCCTCGTTTGCGCGCGTTCGCGCGCCTCGATTGTAGATATCAACATAGGCCGGCGTTGGGTCGACCCGGTCGACGCAACGCTAAACGTTGCGTCGACCCAAAACGTCATATCCGGTTTTTTACAACGCATGGGTCGCAAAACTTTTACGTACTATATCGCTAATAAACTGTTTTAATGTCAATATATTATTAAGTCATCAAGAACCCATTAGTTGTTCAACAAAATAATATTTTTACTCTGATGTCATATCCGGCTTTAGATTAATTTAAAATACAAATGGGTCGCTTGTGTTATATACTTGCACTTGTTTGAAATTTGTTTTAATTATTATTTATTAGAATAGTAAGGCAAACCCATGCCATCCATGACATGGACCAAAAATCGCTGCCACCTCGCGCACCGGTTCAAGAGTACGCACACATGTTTACAAATGGCGGAACTGTGGTAAGTCAGCTGGCGGGGCTATTCGGTTATTTAGAGAATTTCATGTAGTTCTTTACAAATTAGTGTATCAGGGAGCCCATGTATGCATCTTGATGATGTAGCCTAGCCTGCATAACCTTCGCGATCCTAACTATCGCTGCTCACCAGAGCAGCACTGACCGCAGCGCGTCCTCCCCGCACACCGAAAACCGCTGAGCCACAAGCATGCAGGATTACGCTCGACGCTCACGCGATGCCAGAAAATCACTGAAGGTGGAAGCCTCGCCGGCCTCGCGCCGAAAGCAGTGTGTTCCCCATGCCTGCGAGCGAGCTTAGAAACACAAATACGAGAATATTGTCTTGAGCAGCGTTTACACTGCACGAGAGCGCTTGCACAGCAGGCCACCTCGGGGTGTAGAGGTTTTCGTTGCTTTGGCCTCTCCTTCCGTCGTCCTTGCATACCTCACGACGATAACAATGTCTTGCCTAAACCTACCAGTGGTATGATCTGGGGAGAACAGACACCTTTACCGAAGCCCAATTACACGAGTATCCCAGCGGTTTCTGGGAAGAAAAGGCAGGGGGACGATCCCCTGCCTCCTTATTTATGAGTGAGTGCCGAGTTACTTCTGTGTTATGTTTTTTTAAAGGGAGAATACGTAAGTGTAAAATGCTTGGTGTTGATTTTCCGAAGCAAATGTAGCTGTGATGGATGCCTCGGGAAGAACTAAAGATTAATTTGAACCACTTCACTTCGATTTTCTTTTCGCATGCCTGAAAGACCTCTATTACACAGTATGTAAAGCTACTGATAGACTAAGCTGCACATTTTGCCTCTTTAGTTCCCTATCTAATGATGCTGGCCTTGAAAGTGAACTTATGTAAGCATTGACAATGTTTTTATCTGTGTTGTACCCTGGAACCCAGCATGCTTACACTGAGCATACAAATAAAAAATAATAATTGGAACGGCAGCTATTATACTGTTGGCAACAACTGTAATCAGCCTTACTGTGATGAATCGTCAGCTGACAAAGAGGGTGTGTTTTCCAAAGTTCCTGCGACGCTAAGTGATTACTGGTGTATTTAGTTTAGTTGCAGGTGTGTTTATGGGGTATTAGAAAACAGTTTTTAGAGTAGCGATAGGATAGGCTTACTTGTTGGATCTTCTTCGTTGATGGTGTTGCATGCTAAAGGCAAGAGGCACACCATATTGGGGTTGGACCTCCAGGTTTATAGCCCTACTGTAAAGCATTTTTGGTCTTATACTAGTGGTTTTATGGGTAGAAAAAAGCAGTTTTTAAAGTAGCGATAAGATAGTCGGGTTAAAGCAGGCTTTTTAGGCAGGGTCGCGAGACCGAACTAGGGATGCCGCGAACTTTTTTCGAATCGAAGTTTCGATGATTGAATCAAGCGGTTCGAAAGGTTCGAAAGATTTCGATTTTTCGAATTGTCTATATCGTAAAATTCGACGGAGGTCGAATTTTCGAACTTGTTAAGCTAAGAAGTTCGACGCTTTTCGAACCGTCGAACTTATTACGCTAAAAAATTCGATCTTTTTCGAACTTTCGAACTTATTGCGCTGCAAGGTTTGATGCTTGTCGAACTTTCGAACTTGACTGACCAAAAAATTCGATAAATTTCGAACTTTCGAACTTATTTATCAAGAGAATTCGAAAAGTTTCGAACTTTCGAATTCTGAAAAGTCAGAAGTTCGACGAACTTCGAACTTTTAGGGTAAAAGTTCGACGTCCGTCGAACTTCGAAAGACCGGCGTACGGTTTCATTTGATTTCAAGTAGTGGGGTACATTCGTAATTTTTTTTTCTCGAACTTTTACACGCGGTGCTGCGCTCCTTACGAAAGAGAATGTCGTTTATTTCAATGTTCTGGCATGCTTAGGTTTAAAGAAATAAATCCCTGAAGGGGCGAGGAAGGACGACGGGTTTTTGACGATTTTTCGTTTGTGCCAGATTTGAAGCACGCTGCAGCCGGAGCTATTTATGGTAGATATGTTATACTTTTTTAAGAATGATCTATGTATAGCCTAGGTAAGTGCCGTCTTAAGATGTGATTATTGTTATTCAACGTGAGTTTCGAAGAAATGTCCAAACATGTATCTGCATGCAATTATAAACTAAACTTGATATTTATTTTCGTCTAAGTTGTTTGAGGTATCGCATTTAAATTAACACCACAGACAGTACATATCATTGCCATCTGCAGAATACAAAATAATATATTTATTGTTTTTTCACGTTAAGGAATAAATTAACTCATGGGAGAAGATTTCTAATAGTGCTCAAGTTCAGCACGTCATTAAAACTTTTTTTTTTTCGCTTCACGTTCCTGGGACGTGTTTCTTTTAGCCTTTACACATTTTGGTAAAAGAAACTTGTTTCGAAGTTCTAAACCTCTGAATATGCAAGAATAGAACACTTCCGACGAATTCTTGATAGTTTTTTTTTCTCCTGCTTTTTATTTCCGCATTTATTCTTTTTTTTTTTTTTTTTTTTTTTTTACTATCGGCACAGGTGTTTAGGTCGAAAAGACAGCTTTGAACTTCCGAACCACTAAGCATGTGACGAGCAGTGCCTTCTGACAACGAGTTTCTAACAATAACCATCTACGCAACCTTTTATACAGTGAAGAGCGACAGTAGCTATACATATGCATAAATAATTTCAGATTAAAATAAGCTCGACCACGCCCTCTTTCCCCGTATTGTTTTCTTTAACAGTCCGAAATACCTGCAAGGGAGAGAAAAAGGCTAAAGCCCCCCCCCCCCCCCCCCCCCCCCCCCCCCCGCTACCCTCTTTCCCCCCGTTTCTCCTCTTCCGACGCCACTTGTATGGTAGAACGCTCCTCGACCTCGAGTTGTGTCGGCTTTTGTGCTTTTTGCGAGGCGATTCCTCCGTCCCAGAAAATAAACCTCCAGGACAATTATAAACTTCACCGGATCGAATTACTACCAGCGTGCAAGGGGTGGCGAGGTAGTTTGCCAGGTCGCTTCAAGGTTTTTCTGAGCCTCAACCTCCTGCTCGCCCCTGGCCGTTTCGAACTGGATGAGTCTCGTAAAACAGTGTGTTCGTGTGATCACTACAGCGTGACGCAGGTTAAAGACCCCCCCCCCCCCCCCCCCCCCCCGGGGCTGGCGGTCACAATTCTGCACTGGCAAATATTCTAGCACGTCCGGGACACTCGTGGTCTCATTTAATTGCCTGACCAACTTCGCAGAATCTAGATATCACACTTTAACTTTTCTAAACTTGATTTTGTGGAAACCAGTGCGTCGTGAAAACGTTATTTGAAACTGAAACTGTGGAAAAACTTGAAAATCGGACTTCGAACTTTGAAAACTTAGATTAAAAAAAAATTCAAAATCTTCAGTTTTTTTGTTTTTTTTTTTAATTTAGCGTTAAAAGATAATCGAAACCGTCGAACTTTTCGAACTTTATGCAAAAAGAAATTCGAAATCTTCGAATTGTTCGAACTTCATGTCTATAAAAAATCGAAGCGTTCGAAGTTTTCGAATTTTTTTTACAAAGAATATCGAAATCTTCGAATTTATCGAACCTCAAGTAAAAAAAATATTCGAAATATTCAAATTCGAAATTTTAGAAACCGTGAAAGCTTCGAAATTTTCGAATTCGAAACTCCGCTGTGTTCAAAAGTTGCGAATTTTTCGAAATCGAACCTCGGTCGGTACGAAAATATCGAAATTTTTCGATATCGAACCTCAGTTCGCTTCGCAAATATCGAAACCTTTCGAAATCGAACCTAGGGTGGTTCGCGACATCCCTAGACCGAACCACCTGCACATTTGAAACTTTTGGCTGGCTAGTTGGTTGTGTGGACAGAGGCGTACGCAGGCTTTCTCGGGTTTGAGTTTTGGTGGGATATTTGTCGTGGGGTCGCGCTGTGTGTCGGTAGACAATGGTGAATACGCGACGGAAGAAGGATGCACAGCCTAAAGTAAAAGAAGGACCCGATGTAGAATGTGAGGAGCGTGGCCGTTGGTGCTGCATGATGGAGACGGAGTTCAAAACTATAGCAGAAGCCGAGGAGAGCAGCTTTACCTGCCGGAGTTGCGAGAAGGTAGAACTTGGTTTTAGGAGAAGGGAATGGGTGGATGCGGTTCAGGAGTTGAAGCGGGAGATAAAGGTAGAGCGGGAGAAGCGGGTACAGCCCGAGGCACAGGTGGGAAATTTGATTAAGAGGGCCGAAGCGGATGTGGAGGAGATGACCAGGAAACGGGGAAGTAAGGTAGAGAGCGTGGCGGGAGAGCTGAGGCGAGAGCGGGAACAGCGAGCCGAACTTGAGCGTCAGGTGGAGGAGCTTAGACAGGGGAAGAGTGGAAGGCGAAGTTGGAGGAGCATAAGAAGAAGTGTGAGGAAAAGGTGCAGCAACTGACAGGAATAGTTAATAAGAAAAAGGGGGAGGTGGCAGAGAAGATGGCGGTGGGGGCGGCAGACATAGGGGGCCAGTTAAATAGTGACGAGGTGTTTGACTGTGTAGGAAAGGAGCCTG